TTTTTCAAAGTATGACCTGATGATTCTATGAATTTCCTCAAAGTCTGTTGTTATGTCCCCCTTTTCATATCTGATTTTGTTGATTTGCATGTTCACACTCTGCTGTTTGGCAAGTTTGGACAAAGGTTTGTCTATCCTATTGATTTTCTCAAAGAACCAACTCTTCATTGCATTGATTCTTTGTATTGTTTTCCTAGTTTCTACTTTATTGATTTCAGCCCTCTGTTTGATTATTTCCTGGTGTCTACTCCTCCTGGGGGGAGTTTGCTTCTTTTTGTTAGAGCTTTCAGCTGTGCTGTTAACTCTCTAGTGTGACTATCCTCCAGTTTCTTCATGTGGGCATTTAGTGCTTTGAACTTCCCCCGTAGCATTGCTTTCAAAGTGTCCCATAGGTTTGGGTATGTTGTGTCTTCATTCTAATTGAATTCTAGGAAGTCTTTAATTTCTTTTTTTTATTTCTTCTTTGACCCAGGAATGGTTCAGTTGTGCATTATTCAATTTCCATGAGTTTGTAGGGTTTCTTCAATTTGTGTTGTTGTTGAATTCTAATTTTAATGCATGGTGGTCTGATAAGACGTATTGAGTTTTTCCAATTTTTTGTAGTTGCTGAAGCTTGATATGTTGCCAAGTATGTGGTTGATTTTTGAGAAAGTTCCATGTGGTGGTGAGAAGAAGGTAGATTCTTTTTTATGTGGATGGTATGTTCTAAAAATGTCTGTTAATCTCAATTGGGTCATTACTTCTATTAGACCCTTTGCTTCTTTGTTGAGTTTCTGTCTGGTATACCTTTTTAGAGTTGAGAGTGAAGTGTTGAAGTCTCCCACTATAAGTGTGTGTGGCTTTATATGTGATTTGAGTTTTAGTAATGTTTCTACCCCTGCTTGTTTCTTGGGTCCATTTGATTGGAAAATCATTTCCCAACCTTTAACTCTCAGGTAATGTCTGTCTTTGAGGGTGAGGTGTGTTTCTTGTATGCAGAAGAAGGATGGGTTCTGTCTTTGAATCCATTCTGTTAGCCTGTGTCTTTTTATGGCTGAGTTAAGGCCTGTAATATTGAGGGATATTAATGACCACTGATTGCTCACTCTTCATTGATTTGGAATGGTTGGTGGTGGTGGAATTATGTGTGGAATTCCACACCTTTTTTCTTTTGGATGTTGGTAAAGTGGAATTATCTAATGCCTATGGTTTTCTGGTTGTAGTTAACTTCCTTGGATTGGAGTTTTCCTTCCATAACTTTCTGTAGGGATGGGTTAGTGGATAGGTATTGCTTAAATCTAGTTTTGTCATGGAATATCTTGCTTTTTCCATCTATAGTGATTGAGAGCTTTGCTGGTTATAGTAGTCTAGGCTGGCATGAATCGTCTCTTAGTGTTGGTAGAGTATCTATCCAGGACCTTCTGGCTTTCAGAGTTTCCATGGAGAAGTCAGGTATAATTCTGATATGTTTGCCTTTATGTTACTTGGCCTTTTTCCATAGCTGATCTTAATATTCTTTCTTTATTCTGTATATTTGGGATCTTGATTATTATGTGGCAAAGGGACCTTTTTTGTGATCCACTCTACTTGGTGTTGGGTAAGCTTCTTGTACATTGATTGGCGTGTCTTTCTTAAGGTTGGGAAAGTGTTCTTCTATGATTTTGTTGAATATTATTTCTGCGCCTTTGAAGTGGTTTTCTTCACCTTCTTCTATACCTATTATTCTTAGGTTTTGTCTTTTCATGGTGTCCCATATTTCCTGGATGTTTTGTGTTAGGGATTTGTTGGACTTAAGATTTTCTTTGGTTGATGAATCCATGTCTCCTAGTGTATCTTCAACACCTGAGATTCTCTCTTCCATCTCTTGTAGTCTGTTGGTAATGCTTGTATCTGTTGTACCTTACTGTTTGCCCAGCTTTTCTATTTCCAGCCTTTCTTCAGATTGTGCTTTTTTATTGTCTCTATTTCAGTTTTCAATCCTTGCACTGTTTGAATTGTTTCTTGCAATTTTCAGTTCATCTTTTTGTCCATTTTTTGCATTTTATGAATTTTTTGGTTTGTTTTTTCTTCCATTCCTTACATTTTTTTGGTTTGTATTTTCTTCCATTTCTTGCATTTTGTGGTTTCTTTTTTCTTCTATTTCTTGCATTTTGTGGTTTCTTTTTTCTTCCATTTCTTGCATTTTGTGGTTTCTTTTTTCTTCCATTTCTTGCATTTTGTGGTTTCTTTTTTCTTCTATTTCTTGCATTTTGTGGTTTCTTTTTTCTTCCATTTCTTTGAGGGATTTTCCATTTCTTTTAGGGCCTCTATCATTTTCATGAAATTGTTTAAAGATCATTCTCTTCTGCTTCATTTGCATTGGAATGTTGGAGTCTTGCTGGTGTGGAGTCTCTAGAATGTGGTGGTGTCATATTTGTTTTTCTGTTGCTGAGTGTGTTTTTGTATTGTCTCTTTCCCATCTCTTCTTCTAGTAGGTGCAGAAAGAGCCCCTTACTGGTCTGGTGGTTAGTGGACCCGAGTTCGCTTTCGGTAGGTGCAAGCAAGTCCAATACTCTGGTAGTTCTTCTATTCTTTGTCCTACTTCTGGTCCCGTGGATGGAGGAGAAGCCCAGGAATCTGGGGTGCTTAACCTCCCACCTGGTTCCTTGTTCCCTTTAGTGGAAGAGAAGACCTGGGATCTGGGATGCTTGGCTCCCACTGGATGGGAAGCTCTCTGGAAATCTCCAGGCAATCTCCATGCAATGGAATGCAGGCCTGGATGCAGGGCCTGTTTTATCTTGTTCCGCCAGACCCACTGTTCCCCTGGCCTCATTGGTGGAAGAGAAGACCACATTAACTGATTATTATCACAGTCAATTTCAAGTTTTTAAAACTGGTTTCCGTCTTTATAAACATGTTTATATTTAGTTTGTGTGTGTGCATAGCAAAAGGAGGTAACAAAACAACTTGTAAGCTGGAGTAGGTTCTCTTCTTCTATTGTGTGGTTCATGGGACTAGAATTTTAGTTGTCATTTATGGCAGCGGGTGACCTTACCATCCCACATGTACCAACATAAAGTTTCAAACATTACAAAGTCCTAGAATCTTCAGCTTTTTTATGTTCTCTTTCATTCCCATGCCCAATGCATGAATTTCTTTTTTTCACAGGCCGTCTATTATCTGAGAGTCAGGAAGACAATGACATTATACCTTCCTCTCCAGTTTCTAAAGCCATGGGCTCCTCCTCATGCCTCCTCCTCCTAAATAAGTCTGTGGAAAGCATTTCCTGTACATAATGTGAGTTGATGTTTAGGCTTTTATTATGGCTGCAGTTTGCTTCCAGGTATCAGATACTCTATTACAGAACATTGGCAATGCTATGGCAAATACTATAATCAGTACACAACAATGAACCCTAGTCTAATAAAAGGCCTCTTTGGATTTTGGTGCAGGAGCTGATAGTGGGTGATAAGTTCCCATTTTATAATAACCTTTAACTTCTTCTTATCCTATTAATAAATGTGACAGAGAGAATTACAGAGTAATCTGATATTTGTAGTAATTGATAATCACTAAAGCACATATATATCCAATTGTCAAAAGGCTTCTTAGAAAATCTAACTGGACAAAATTAACCTTTTGATTGTTGGATCAAAACTATGCCCTTGGAGTTATGAACCACTTCTGAGAGGGACAGGTTAAGGAAGGCTGGGCAATTCTGCTTACTGGGTGTACTTGGCAGTTTGGCAATTTACTTTGCTTTCAGGGTACACACATACATCTGTGGAATTCTAACCCTAGGTGACGGGAATTGACAAAGTCCTGTGTGCCTCTGGGAATTCAGGAAAGAGTTTAGCATTTGTGAGCAGTTTAGAAATGTTGACTCAGGGAGACTGTAGACAATAGAATTTTCCATCATCAGGTTTTTTTTTGAGACCTGAAATATTTGCACATTCAATAAGTCAAGGTTTCTTTATTCTTCTTATACCCTCAGGCATTTGGTCGGCTGGCCTCTGCTAGGTTAGGATTTTGCAAACTTTGCCAAATAGGTCATTTTAAGTCAGTTTGCTTTTTTGTTTAATTTTTTGTTTTTTATTTAAAGAAAGATAAGAGAGACATGAAATTATTTTCAGAAAGAAAAAAATTGTGGATTTCTAGTTTTGTGGTATTCTTTTAAACAGGTACACCTGGTTGAATAATGTGCCTCATACAATCAGAACACTTGAATATAAAATCCTTTGCTGTTTTCCTGATGGTGTTGAATAGGAGGAGAGGTGTTGTTGGCAGCTGGAGAAGTCTTGAATCATAGGATGGCTGTAGGGTCTATACATCACCTGACTGCACTCTACTACAGCACTGCCACAGTTACTCCTCTACCCTACTGTGAGAGTTTTCTCTGAACCATAGAGAGCAGACTCCAGACAGCTGCTGAGTTGCCTGAAGTATGGCACTACTTGACTCTTGATACACTTTGAGAAAATATAATGAATGAAATTGAGCTCTTTTCTCCCTAAATGCTTGTCTCCAGGAAAAGGAAACCATCTGCACACTTACAACTGCTCCAGGGTTGCTATAGTATACCATTTCACTGAGAGGTCACAACATTCTTGGGAGTAAGGGCAAGCACTTTGCTGCTATGCTGCTAGCCTAGTGACCACCCCACCCTTTTCATTTTCATTTCTGAACCTTGGTATTTCTTCCATTACTTCCTGATTACTTTCTTTCATGGTGATGAGGTTTTCCTCTTTATCTCTTCTGTTTCCTTTGCTTGACCATCAGCAACTCAGCTTAAGACTCGAACTTGTACCTTCTGTTGGTTGAAAACTGAACAGAGAAACTTTGGAAGCAAGTCACCCTCCAACTTGCTATGTAGTCAATAAGGAGTTAAACTTTACTCCCTCACCTCTAATTCTCAAGTGCCAGGAATATAGGCAAGTGCAGCCAGGTTCAGTTTGCTTGGCAACTGGGAGCAAAACCCAGGGCTGCCCAGACCCTGTCTTTCCCAGAAGCACTTCCTGACAATGTCTGTTTTCTTATTTTAGTTTCTGTGTACTTTCAAGTTACATGGAGACTGGCTTCTACATTCTTGATACTTCTGTGTATGGAGGCAATATGGAGCTGTGTTCTTCAGTCAATGAAGTATCCACAGAAGCTAGGTAAGAAATTATATGTTTAGATGAAACATTCCAAACTTAAATAATTTTCCTTGTGGTAAATATAGGAAAATCTTTGTATCATTAGGTATATGTTTTCCTTTATTCTAACTCTACACCAGGCTCTTGGCTGAATGATGGAACACTGGTAAGTTGTCCTTGCAGTTCTCAAGAAACTTCAGGTTCACACACAAACAACTAATTTTTAATTTATTATTATTAAAGGTCATATTAATTCATTTATAAGAACCTACTTTAAGAGCCGGACATTGTTGGCACATGCCTTTAACCCCAGCATTCTGGAGGCAGTGGCAGGTGGATCTCTGTGAGTTCAAGACCAGCCTGGTGTACAAAGTGAGTTTCAGGAAAGGCTCCAAAGCAATAGAGAGAAACCCTGTCTCAAAAAAACCAAAAAAAACCCTACTTTAAATAGTTTTTCTTTTAATATTCTTTAGAAATATTTTTCAGATATTTCAAGAATTAGAAGGTTTAAAACAATTCTATCAAAATGTATTTTGGGAGTTTCTTGGCATTTAAATAATATAGGGGATTAGTAATGACCATCGCTTAAGAAAATAGCAAGCAAGGATATTTCACAGCACTGAGAACATTAAATCATTTTACAATGTTAGTAAGAGGTAAGAAATGTTACCTTTAACTGAAAATGTTTAATTTATTTTACCTGATTTTTTATCAGCAATGTCTAACTGTGGTTATAAATATAAGGCCAGGCAAGCAGTTATTTAATAATTGAACAATATAAAACTGTAATTGATATTCATAAAATATGACATATGTGTGGGAGAGAAGATAAAATGTCTATGATGGAGATAAGATAAAACAGATTTCAAATATCTGACTTAAAAGAAATTTATCTGATAAGAATATGGAGTACTATAAATCTTAGAAGTTTGTGACACACTTATTCTCTTTGTGAAACAGATTTATATTTAATAAATGTGTCTAAGGAGATCTTTTGATACTATAAATGCTTTGGAATTTACATTTTTTAAAATAAATAATCACATGTTTTCTTCATACAGCATTCCATCGCACTGGCAATGAACACATCTCTGCCTATATTGCCTTAAAACATACTCCTGGAACATCTCTTTGAGACTCATTTTATGATTTTTTTCCGATTTTATACTTGAAATCTGAACTTGAGTCACTCTAATTGACTTACATTCTTGTAAAAATTTTCAGCAATAATTTTATCAGCCGTTTGCAACACCGTCTGGTATTCATCACTTGAAGGATACTGTTGAGGGGGACTTAATTGGATGAGATTTATTCCCCCACACACACCTCATTACACATGCTATAGAAATGTATGTACAGCTAAAGGAGAAATGGGGGAATAGGCTCTTCTTTCTTTGGCATTCTATTTAAGTAATATGATTGCCTTATTAATCAGCACCAAAAGTGACACAGAACACAGCACTTTTGAGTTTTCTGAATTCTAATTGAAACTGAAAATCAAGTTGCAGCTCTTTTGAATTGCTTTTCATTGCTTTAGAACATATGTAAATCTTTCTAGAATAAAATAGAAACTTCCTGAACAACCACTTCAGCCCATTTGTTTTTTTTTGGGAGTCAGGAAAGTGGGCACACCAAAGCAAAGGTAAGCTTCAAACCAGGGGTCAGCTCTAGATGATTTTTGGAATATTGTACACCACATTATAAAATACTCAGGTATATATCTGTATCCACACATATTCCTCTTTTTTAAATGGCTGTACACTTTCTGTTTACATCCGGGGTTGGATAGTGAAGGGAAAGTATGGTAATGACATTTTTTTGCCTTCACAGATGGCTCCATGATTTTCATAGATATCAGGACCCAGCATTTGGGTGAAAGATAAAGACATGGGTCAGAAAGGTGGAGAAACAGCCGCACACATATTGAAGGAAAACTCAGAGTACTGTACATATCTAATGCTAGACAGTCTATGTACAGTAATGACAGGAATGTATGAGTATGAAAACACACATGCAATCCAACAGGACAAAAAAAGAATCCACAGAGAAGAAAGAAGTTATATTAGTCATCACCTACTGCAGCAGCTAGCTCCACAAGGCCGAGATCAACACAAAACCTTGAACTGAGGTGGTCTGGAAACTGAGTCTAAGAAACAAGAGAAGGGCGTGGAAATGGAAGGAACCAAAGCCAGTTCATGGGACTGCATCTAGCTTGTTCCTATGGGAGTTTCCAGAGCTTGATTCTATTCAGGTGCTTCAAAAACTCAAGAATGGGTTTCAGAGTTCTCTGTTTCAGTGGAAAAAAAAGTTCCTAAACTCTGACTCAAGACTGTCTATTACATTTTCAGGTTTCTGCAAGCATTTGAACTCTAAGTAGGCTTTGTCAGTGCTCAAATAATTACAAAACTTCACAGCAAAACATGAAAGATATCCATGTATTACCATAGCAACTGAGGTCTGACCAGAAAGGATCTGACCAGAGCAGGTATATAGAATGACCTGGCACTCATACTACAGAGACCTAGAAATTTTGCACATTCAACCCGCCAAATACCCATCACAATGCTGGTTGCATGCAATATGTAAAACCGACTTATATAATATTCGTCTCAGCTACTGCAACTTCACACATTTCAGTAGCTTATCTTCCTCCTCCAGAACCCATTCACAATTTTCTTTGAGTTTGGATTGCTTGCTTGATGGGAAAAAACCTTGAAATTTTTTTCCGAAAGGATATACCTTTTTTTAGTTGCTTTAAAGGATATACCTTTTAGTTGCTTTCTTACTTAGTTGTTATGATAAAACCAATTGTTTGATGGGAGACATTTGTTATATGGTAACTTGATATCCCATGGTCAAACTCTTCAACTAGGACCAGGCAGCATGTTGGCAATGTATGTTTTATACAGTTTTGTTCATATTTCTCTGTCTTTCAGGCTGGCCTCAAACTCCTGTTCCTCCTCCCTCAGCCTCCTGAGTACTTGGGTCACCTTTGCCCCTTTCACCTGGCAGAGATGCAGGAGTCAGGCACTGCTGTGAGAAACGAGCCCTGACCAGACATAAGATGTGCTGTTTCACCTTGGTGTGGAATTCCCAGCCCTAAACCTAAGGAAATAAATGTTTATATTTCATAAGCTACCCAGTTTGTGGTACATGTAGCATATTAGTACCCATGGCTGTCATAGGAAGAAGCAGGCATGGCAGCAGACACAGTAGTTGGAGCAGCAATCTTACAATTCACAGTCCTGAACCATAGCCATAAGCAGAGAGTGAACTGGGAGAAGGGTTAGGTATTAGGCTCTCAAAGCCTCCCTGCCAGTGACATACTTACTCCAGCAAGGCCACACCTCTTAAAACTCCCTAAACAGTGTCAACAACTGGAACTCAAGTGTTTAAAAGTGTAAGCCTGTTGGGGTCAGGGGCATTATCATTTGAATCACTACTTGCAGCAACATGAGTAGAACAAGATAGGCTTAAACTCCACAGATCCTCCCGGATTGTAATTTCCATTTTGATGGGGCTGGGAGTTTGGAGAGTGGTAAGACAAGAACAGAAAGTCTAACATTTCCTAAAGTAATTATTGTCACTCCACAGGTCAGAGAAGCCTGTTGTAATTTGTCATGTTATAATGCTGAATCTTCATCAATTTGATGTTCTGAAAAATGTCACATTATTTTAAGATGTTGATGAAAATGTCTTAAACCAAGAAGCAGAAAGTATTGTGTAATATCTACTCACCAAAACCAGACCTGACAAGAGTAGAGATACCTGGTGGAGATTCAGGAACATGCAATAGCAATGAAGAGTTGGGAGTCAAATAATCTGAGACATATTGTCATTGTCTCTTGGCAGTAATAAACATAACCATATCAATTATGCATTCAGGAAATGTGTAACCACAGAGTATGCCCATGAACCCAATAAACCCATTGTCAGAGCTATTGGGCCAGATTTCTGTACATCCATTGACCTCTTATATTTTAATCACCAAGTCATTTTGGACTTTTGATTTTGGATTGGCAAATCAGATGTAGCATCTAATAATATTCAACTCTTTCCAGGTAAATGGCTGATAATACCTTTGGTAAAAGATGGGGAAAACGATTCTTGTATTCCTTTTTTAATAGTGCTGCAAAGTTCTTCCTTAGGGGACCTTCTGGAACCAAGGTAATGAAGCTGAAAACAAAGCCCTATAAAATGGTGGTGTTCTGTCATGAGGTCTGACTTGAAACCACTTTAGCATGAAGATTCTCATAGTTGGTGGCTTGGGCTAAGTTCAAGGGAAGATGAAGCAGTGGCTTTTGTAACAGCAGAGGTGCTTTACAGTACAAGGACAGTGGTGACTCTAAAGACTGTGGATCTGGCTGGCTTATGTAAGTGCTTTTAGAGGCTTTGAAAGTAGGAAACAGAAAACAGGTTAAACAACTCAACAAAGAAGAACACATAAAGGAGACATTATGTGACAGCTTTTTGCCAGTGGAAGGTTGTCTTTTCAGACCTAAACTTCTTAGCTTACCCTACAATAGCCCATACAGTGCGAATATGCTAAAATTTAATAAATCAAAATACCATCACAGAAATAATTGACCTCTTTCCATAGCACTTAGCACTATGGGGTACCTATCTGCTATGGTAACTACAGAAGAATGACTGTCATCACTGGTCTGTGGCCTCGGGTGTCCTGCATAAAGGTTATAACTACATCTCAGAAGTTAACTTAAGCACACTGTTGGACAGTTTATCAAATTGATAAAAGGGAAATGAGTTATTTTGTGAAAAGTCATGGTTTAGTGTGTTTCTCCAGCATGGTCTTGACCCCTTTGGTCATTTCTCCTTCCTCTCTACAACTGGATTCCATGAGTTCCGCACAGTGCTTAGCTGTGCATCTTTGCTTCTGCTTCTATCAGCTACTGGATGAAGTCTCTAGGATGGCAATTAAAGTAGTAATCAATCTCATTATAAGGGAAGGGCATTTAAGGTAGCCTCTCCACTATTGCTTAGATTCTTAGTTGGGATCTTCCTTGTGAATCTTTGGACATTTCCCTAATGCCAGATTTCTCTTTACACCTATAACATCTCCATCTATTAAGGTATCTCTTTTGTTGCTCTTCCTTCTCCTCCCTCACCACATCCCCATGCTCCCAATTTGCTTAGGAGCTCTTGTCCCTTTCCCCTTCTCTGGGGGGGCCATTTGTGTCTCTCTTAAGGTCCTCCTTGTTTCCTAGCTTCTCTGGAGGTGTACATTGTAGGCTGGTAATCCTTTGTTCTACGTCTGATATCCATATATAAGTGAGTACATAACATGTTTGTCTTTTTGTGACTGGGTAACCTAACTCAGGATGGTTTCTTCTAGTTCCATTCATTTGCCTGCAAACTTCAAATTGAGTGCTGAAATCAATGAAGTAGAAACAAAGAAAAAAATAAATAGTTGGTTCTTTGAGAAAATCCACAAGATAAACAAATCTTTATCCAAACTAACCAAAAGGCAGAGACAGAACATGAAAATTAACAAAGTCAGACATGAAAAGCAGGACATAACAATGGACACTGGGGAAATCCAGAGAATCATCAGGTCATACTTTGAAAATCTGTACTCCACAAAATTGGAAAATTTAAATGAAGTGGACAATTTTCTGGGTAGATATCACTTACCAAAATTAAATAAAGAACAGATAAGCAATTTAAATAGACCTATAGCCCTTAATGAAATAGAAGCATCATTAAAGTCTCCCAACCAAAAAAAGTCCAGAGCCAGATGGTTTCAATGCAGGATTCTATCAGAAATTAAGAAGAATTAATACCAATCCTCCTCAAAGTGTTCCACACAATTAGAATCAGAAGAGTCATTGTCAAACTCTTCTTAGAAGGCTACAATTACCTTGGTACCCAAACCATACAAAGACACAACTAAGAAAGAGAACTAAAGATCAATCTCTCTTATGAACATTGATGCAAAAATATTTAATAAAAGACTGACAAATCAAATGAAATAACACATCAAAAAATCATCCAACATGATCAAGTAGGCTTGATCATCCAACATGATCATCCCAGGGATGCAGGGATCATTCAACATGTGAAAATCCATCCCATAAACATACTGAAAAAGAAAAACCACATGATCATCTCACTAGATGCTGAAAAAGCCTTTGACAAAATCCAACACCCCTTCATGATAAAGGTCTTGGAGAGATCAGGGATAACAGGAATATACATAAACATGATTAAGCAATATACAGCAAGCCAACAGCCAACATAAAACTAAATGGAGAGATACCCAATGTGTTTCCTCTATAATCAGGAACAAGACACAGTGTTCACTCTCTCCATATCTTTTCAGTATTATACTTGAAGTTCTAGCTAGAAAAATAAGACAACAACAGGAGATCAAGAGGATACAAATTGGAAAGGAAGGAGACAAACTTTCAGTATTTGCAGATGATATGATAGTTTACATAAATGACCCGAAAAATTCTACCAGGGAGCTCCTACAGCTTATAACCACCTTCAGAACAGTTACAGGATACAAGATAAACTAAAAATAAAATCAGTAGTCCTGCTATACATAGATGATAAATGAGTTGATAAATAAATCAGAGAAACATTACCCTTTACAATAACCACAAGCAGCATAAAATATCTTGGGGAAACACTATAACAAAACATGTGAAAGCCCTGTATGGCAAGAACTTTGATTCACTACAAAAATTTACAAAAATTAAAGAAGATACCAGAAAATGGAAAGATCTCCCATGATCTTAGGTAGGTAGGGTCAACATTGTAAAAATGGCAATCTTACAAAAAGCAATCTACAGATTCAACATAATTCCCATCAAAATACCAGCACAATTCTTCACAGACGTTGAAAGAACAATACTCAACTTTATGTGGAAAAACAAAAGACCCAGGATAGCTGAAACAACCAGGTACAATAAAGGATTTTCCGCAGGCATCACCAATCCTGACTTCAAGTTCTACTACAGAGCTATAGTAATGAAAACAGTTTGGTATTGGCACAAAAACAGTTATACCAATGGAATAGAATTGAAAACCCTGATATTGATCCACACCCCTACAAACACCTGATTTTTGACAAAGAAGCTAAACTTATACAATGGAAAAAAGAAAGCATCTTCAACAAATGATGCTGGCACAATTGAATGTTGGCATATAGAAAACTGCAGCTAGATCCATATCTACTACCATGCTCAAAACTTAAGTCCAAATGGATCAAAGACCTCAACATCAATCCAGCCACAGAGAACCTCTCAGAAGAGAAAGTTGGAGGTACTCTTAAACTAATTGGTACAGGAGATGGCTTCCTGAAAATAAGGCTAATAGCATAGACACTGGGATTGATAGTTAATAAATGGGACCTCCCGAAACTGAGAAGCTTCTGTAAGGCAAAGGACACAGTCAACAAGACAAAAACGGTAGTCCACAGAATGGGAAAAATTCTTCACCAGCCCTACATCTGACAGAGGTCTGATTTCCAAAATATACAAAGAACTCAAGAAACTAGTCACCAAAGCACCAAATAATCCAATTGAAAAGTGGGATATAGAAGAAAATAGAAAATTCTCGATAGAGTAGTCTCAAATGGCTGAAAGACCCTTAAGAAATTGCTTAACAACCTTAACTATCAAGGAACAGCAAATCAAAACAACACCTGTCAAAATGATTAAAATCAAAAACACCAATGAAATATTGAATTTCTAGAAGGCATCTTATCCCACAGTTCATCTACCATCCAGGAGAGTGTTGGCTAGGGCCCCCACCTTATTAAATCTGCCTCCACATCAGAAATGTAAGGAGTATCTGGAAGGCCTATTGTGCTCATATGTGAAACATCCTCCAACTCGAACATTCAGGGATGCCAGGACTTCATATCCAAGAGTTCATGTTGTGCACAACCCATAGAGACGCCATCTAAGCTTGGCCAGTGTGCCACAGACAACATGTTTGTGCAGTGGTAAGCAACAGTTACCTTCACAGTGTTCTCAGAACTATGAGTTCTGTCTTTCCCCTGGAGTCTTCCTGCTCTGAGATTTACCTGTGCAACATATTACAGCCTTTTTCTGTGAGTGTTCTGTTCCTTCACATCTAACTCACTGGTGATCATAACTCAGAACCCTGGG